CAAACGCTCATTGGTTTGTAATCGTTTTCAAGAGTGGCCAACTATTTTGGAAAATAAAAGCATTGGACTGGACTTTGCAATCCATGTTGGGACAAACGCTGATTGGATTGTAATCGATTTCACTAGTGACCTACCAGTTTGGAAAATAAATTCTCTGGAGTGGAGTAATTTGGCGAATCATTTTGAAAAATAAACTTATTGGACTTGAGGTGACTTTCTACAAATTTACCTTAATTTGGAGTACAACCTGGCTTTTTGTATCCTGAGGATCGCCAACGCTCTCTACAACATAGGAGAGCTCGCTTGACAGTCCAAAAAAAAAAAAAAAAAAAAAAAAAAAAAATAAAATATCATTTTATACCAAATTAATATAATAATTTAGACTTAGGACTATAGTTCCAATAAATTCACGTTTTTATACCCTCCACCATAGTATGGAGGGTATATTAAGTTTGTCAATCCGTTTGTAACACCTCGAAATATACATTTTAGATCCCACAAAGAATATATATTCTTGATCAGCATTAAATCGATTTAGCCATGGTACAATAAGGAGGTAGAACAGCTTCGTAAAACTGCAGAAATACAGGCTATGCCCGCTTCCTGTCAGAATCATTCAAAATTTTGAGCAACAAACTGTTTCCATTTATTCACGTTTTTATACCCTCCACCATAGTATGGAGGGTATATTAAGTTTGTCAATCCGTTTGTAACACCTCGAAATATACATTTTAGATCCCACAAAGAATATATATTCTTGATCAGCATTAAATCGATTTAGCCATGGTACAATAAGGAGGTAGAACAGCTTCGTAAAACTGCAGAAATACAGGCTATGCCCGCTTCCTGTCAGAATTATTCAAAATTGTGAGCAACAAACTGTTTCCATTTATTTGATATTTTTGTTCATTTCCAAAATAAGTCAAATAGAGCGAAAGATGAATGAAATGCCTGGGCGTTCTCTCAAAAATATGATACTAAGTGTTCAATCTTTCAATTCCATGGTAAATCTCGTTAATATTATTAATGCGCGCCCCTCCAATGATTGATTTTGAAAATATTTTGTTTTTATTTTTCAAAACAACAAATACATACACAAAATTGGCAAAAGTCGGGCACACTTGAAAAAAAATTGTAATCAGCTGTGAGCTCTACCTTACCTTTTTATTGTACCATGGATTTAGCCGTCCGTCTGTGGAAATCACTCTAGCTTCCGAACGAAATGAAGTAGCTTAATAAAATTTTACTCAAATCATAGACAAATTAGGTATTGACTAAAGATTTGTCTCATCCGTTATCTCTGAAAAAAGTGCTTCAATAGATGTCGTTCATGCTGTGAGAGAGGTTCAGTAGACTCACTCAATTCTCTCAAAATGCAAAATATTAAATATTTTTATTATTCTTTATTATTTATCAATTAAAAACGAAACATCGACTTTGTTAACTTTTGCATTATCCAAATATGTCGTGAAATATAAAAATATAGAACTTAAATAGCAGAAAAATGAATGAATTGTTTTCGAAGTCGAGTGACTTCACTAGCCCTGAGTGACTTGACTGTCCTAAGATCAACAATAGTGACATCTGCCTTAAGGGAAAATTTTAAAACTTTTATGTCTATTCCCTTATTTGTCTAAGCTCAAATGTATATTATGTCTGCAGGACTTTTGGTATTGAAAATGGGTCATGTAGATCCACGTTTTGGTATAGCCCATATATAACAGTACCTCCCGATAATCGGTGCTTTGATTTTAGCGACATTATTCAGCGGAATTGTTTAAAATTTGGTATTTGAAGTTCGTAATGGATACTGATTATGCAAAAAAAGCTGAGAGCCACCTGGATAAAAAAGACAAAACTAACTTTTCGTTGCCAATATTTTCTATGGCTTCTGGCATAAAAAGAGAATATAAAAGAAGGTGAAATTGTGCAGCCACGTTGCCAATTTATTTTATTTGAGACAGAGAGCATAGACAAATGAAGGTATAGACCATAGACAAATGCAGATATATGCAACGAACAATTTAGTTTTGTCTTTTTATCCAGATGGCTAATATAATATATAATATAATACATGGTACAATGATATCAAGGTAGGGCTATGATGCCATATGATTTCAATTTTTTTTATTTTCTTGGCTTAATATGTCATCTTTTTTTGTTTATGTGTGTGTTTTCTTTTCAATAACAAAAAAAAATTAAAAAAAAAACATTCAAATTCGGATGTTTTCAAAATGTTTATTTCATTGTATGCATCAACAAAATCTAGAGTTTTTGTAGCGAAATAATCCTTTAGAGATATATAGAACCTGGTTTTGAAAAGAAGTGTGGACCTTTCATTAAGTTTTCGCGGTTTTCAATGAAGAGAAGGTAGGTCATGGTACAATGAAGAGAAGGTAGGTCAACTTTGAAAAAATTGCAAGTATAGAGGTCTACCTGTTTGGCTTGTAATGTCAGTATTAGTATCAAAACAATAAAAAATCAAACAACTTGTTGCATTTGTTTTGAATAAATAATTGAAAAACGCGATAACTGAATGAAAGGTCAAAACTTCTTTTCAAAATCATGTACTACATATCTCTATAGGATTATTTCGCTACAAAAACTCTAGATTTTGTAGATGCATACGTTGAAATAAACATTTTGAAAACACCCGAATTTGAATATTTTCTGAACAATTTTTTTATTATTGAAAAGAAAATACATACATAAACAAATAAAGATGACATATTAAGCCAAGAAAATAAAAAAATTGAAATCATATGGTAGTTCTGCCCTACCTTGAATTCATTGTACCATGATTGTACCATGATATAATATAATATAATATAATATAATATAATATAATATAATATAATATAATATAATATAATATAATATAATATAATATAATATAATATAATATAATATAATATAATATAATATAATATAATATAATATAATATAATATAATATAATATAATATAATATAATATAATATAATATAATATAATATAATATAATATAATATAATATAATATAATATAATATAATATAATATAATATAAAATAATGTAATATAATATAATATAATATGTGATTTTTTCAAGATATAACAATTTTGAAAAAGAAATGTAAAATAAACAAAATCAATTGTTGTATATTTAAAAGTCTATTTGACATTATAAGACTCCTATACAGAGTTGCATTTTTCCTAGTTTCTTTAAGTTGAACAACCTTTCTGGTTGAGCCATCGTCCTAATTATAGTTTTGAAAAAAAAAATGGGAGCATTGATTGCACAGTACTGCAACGCGGGATTGTCGCACATAATTACTAATTATTTTGTGCGACGTGTTGGAGTCAGTTATGAGTATTTTTGCCATTTGTTATTGATTCAATAACTTTGACCATGAAATTTGAACAATTTGGTGACGAAGTATGACGATGATAAGACAGCTGACGGTTCGCCTTGTAGTTTCATAGCTCATTGCCATTGATGTGTTGTTTGTGCATGGCGAGAAAAAGGTAGGTTTGGAATCAGTCGTGCTACACATACATACAAACATATGTACATAGACTTTAATGCCTTTGAAGTAAGAATGTTTGTGTTGTCCAATGAATTGCAGTCGTTTTTTTGTAATCGGGACCGAATGCCGTTGCAAGACTAACCTGGCATTTACACAATAATCAATTGTCTTGCATCAGCATTTTTGTACCACTGGGTCGATTGTTTTTCTTACTGCCTAACGTGATATGCTCGGATACAAGGCAAATATTCCGAATTTTGATTATTTTAGCCACATTCTCCAAAGGAATCGTTTGAAGATTGGTATTTAGAAAAGGGCAGAAATATTTCTACATAGGTTCACGTTTTCCTATAGCCCCATACATAGTTGGTTGGTCACGAATCAATACTTCACCTCCTAAGTCGGTCGCCTCCATTTTTTCCTCACACACACGCCCAGTTCAATCGAAAGTATAAAGGTGCCCACGGTGCAACAATAGGATGTGTAATAAACCTTAAAAGCATTTGTTTTCTTCTGGTGACCCTATTCCATCACAGGTTGTATGTGAGTTTTTTCTCAAAACAAATGGGGAAATTTTTATGGAAAGGAAACGTTTAGATTGTGGGAATGAAGTGTTTTTCTCAGGAAACTTTACATGTCAATTTGAAATAACATCAAGGAGGGTATATTAACTTTGTCCCCATAAAGTATATATATTCATGATCGGCATAATATTCTAAGTTGATTTAACGATGTCCGCCTGTCTGTCCATCTGTATGTTGAAATCACGATACAGACCACATTATTTCTACCTCCCGATATTCAGTATTTTCGCCACATTTTTTCCACGGACTTGTCTAAAAATTGGTATTTGTAAGCCATAATGGGTTCTAGCATTGGTGAAACATTGTATTTATAAGTCTCCGTTTTAGTATAGCCCCCATACAACGTTACCTCGCTATATTGGATGTTTTAATGATTTTTGTCACTTTTTTAACGGATTTATCTAAAAATTGGTATTTCTAGTTTGTAATGGGTTCTAGCTCCTGTGGAGGAACATAGTATGTATAGGTCCACGTTTTCGTAAAGCGAACATATAACGATACCCACTGATATTCGGTATTTTGATAATCCTAGTCATATGTACCCACGAAATGGTTTCAAAATTGGTATTTAAGAATATGACAATCCTTGAAGTTGAAAATTGTCTATAGAGGTTTCCGTTTTAGTATGGCCCCCATATAACGGCCCCACCCACTTCATGGTTTTTTGAAAAGTTTAACAGCATTATCCAAAGGGTCTTACTGTTATTTGTAGTTAAAAATGTTTTGCTTTACCCAATGGTGGAGGGTATTAAAAGTTCGGACCGGGCGAACTTAATGTTTTTTACTTGTTAAGAGTTCCTCCCATCTTGATTTTAATCTTGAGAAAAACGTCTGGCATAGGCACGACACTGCTGGGTTATTGTAGCTAATTCCAACGCTATAACAAACTTATAGTTTGTCAGACTTCAAAGCGAAAACAGACAAGCGGAGAGTTGTACATCAACTTTCTCATCAGTCGTGGGCACAGTCCTTGAATTCTCCACCCAACGACAATGAATTGAAATACACACATATATGTATATGTAGATATACACATACATACATGCATACATACATATATGGTTGTACTCACACGTTGTTAAGATCCCCTTAACAACAACACGAAGAGTGGTGGGTGGCCGAATGTCGCCAGCCATACTGCCATGGCATTTGGCGCCCCGGCTCGGGGACTACTCCACCATGTCTGTCGACATTTGGCTGGCAGACTGGCTATCGTAAATCCATAGCAGTGAAGCTTACAAGCGATTCCTACGAATTTTGTGTTGTCCTTTATTTTAGTATTTTATTAGCACCGTAACGGCAAACACTTATTTTGTCTCGCTTTGTGTCTTTTTTCGTAGCGACCTCAAGCTTTGTGTGAGTTGGGTGAATGGAGAACAGTGAAAGGTCTTGTCTAGGCCTTAAGAAGTGCACCGACGACAACTCCTAAAAGTGTTTGTGAGAGTGTAGTAGCGTCGTAGCGAGTATTGCAATGGTGGATGAGTTCTTTGAACATGGGGTTGGGTAAAGCCGTCCTGTCCGTCCACTCCTTGGGCAACCGAATATTGCTCACTATTCAATTAATTAATGGACATATGAAATATGCAGCGACTAAGACAATGCGGAATTAACACAGTCGCTGAATTACACCAATGGGTTGTTTGGGAGGGGCATTTGAAGTTCAGACAATGTTCTCTAGCACTGCCTTGTCCCCGAAATTACTCTCATCACATCTACCTCTGTTCTTTCAGATCTAGAAGGCGCATGGGACATGTCATTTCTTTCTCCGTCGCTGAGACTAGAAAATTTGTCTACAAAGCCAATAATGAGCTTGGATCACTTGCCTGAGGAAAAACGGTACAACAAAAACAACATTGTGGCCAAGTGGTGTGCGCCTATCAATGGCAAAATGTATCGCATCGAACTGGAGCATGGTACGACCAGTGGTCGACGCATGATCTGGGTCAATGGAAAGGTGACAGCCGTCCTTATTACGGTGGCCGATGCCGTTGTCGAAACTCGACGCATGTGGGAGAAAACATTTGTTATTCCCGAATGCATAGCCGTCGACCCATTGTTTAGGACTTCAAAATTTGTTTGTAATTTATAAATCAGTTTCGAATATGAGCATTGGAACTTATTTCAGTGCAGTTTTCCAAAAAAAAGATCCGACAACAACTTCGACATCAGTCGAATGCCACATTCGACTATCGTAATAAGGAGCCAAACCCATATTAAATGCACCCAATACCTCTGACATTAACCTTTTCCAAATAGGAAGTCTTAAGGCGTGACTGGATGTTTAAACTTGTCGGTGAGGACACCTTTTACATAGATCAGGCCCGTTGCATTATACGAGTAGATCCGGCACCGGGCTTCAGATACGAATATTTGCTATATATTGATGGCAAATCTCTCGACCAATACACCGATGAGCAGTCAAAACAATATCGTCTGTGGGTGACAACGATTAACGGTATCCAATATAGGATAATGCTAGACCTGGACACATTGAATCTGTATATCAACGATGAACTATGCCAAGACACGGTAACTATTTATTTTCCTCCCTCTTGTCCGTATTAGTACCAGAGGGCCTCTATCGACGTGGTCCCCAAGATTTTCTCTTTTCTTTGTACAACTTTTGGTGTCGACGGCGATTAAGGGCCAGCAATAATTTCAAACGCTGCAAGCTTTCGGCTAACTTTTCCCAAATTTTGTTTTAGGCCGAATTCGTGGAGGGTGGAACCAATACTACCGTTCTCCACAACGATGTTGAATTCATATTACAAACCCGATCAAGTGGCAATAAACACAGTGGAATCCGCCACACACTGCTGGCGAATCACGTCGAAATACCCGAGGCAAAAATCCAGGAAATAATGCAGGAACCTTGTTCTATACTCTCAACCTAATCGGAGCTGCACAGAAGAGCTTTGCATGTGCTGCTGGTGCCTTCAGACAAAAAACTTACGAAAAAATTAACATTTATTTATGAAATTAAAATAGTAATAATTAAAACTTGTACAAAATTGTATGAAAAAAGGAGGGTGGAACCAATACTACCGTTCTCCATAACGATGTTGAATTCATATTAATTGAGTAGATGAGAATATTCTTTACTTTGCTCATACAAAAACTTGAATCGCTTCCGCGCTTTACACGTTTTGCAGCAATGTAGTTGGATATGAACTAAAACTGAATCGTCGCCGTCTCTCCAATAGCCGTTGTAAGGTGGTATTTTAAACGATATGCGACTCCCATCAACTCTGACTTCCGTGGCAAAAGCACGCCAGCCACAATCACCTTGAAACTCAATGTCAAATCGGTGATCATGGATACACCTCTCTCGTATCACCAATATGTGTTCCGATCCGCCTTCAACATAACCATTATATGGCTCCAAGACGTTGATGTTATCTGAGTCGTAAATTGAAGCGGAAAAGTAGGTATCGGTATATCTTTCCATCCGGTTGCTGTTATTGTTGTAAGTGTAAGCGGTAAATCCAATGTACACCTATGATTAAAACAGAGAAAGTCTCATGTAGGTGTGTTGAAAAAGAAAAAGGGGGCTCCTCATGCTTATTTCCAATAAGTAGAGGAGAAAATTCGCTCTCGGAGTCGAAATGCTTTAAAAAATATGCCACTGAATTTAGGTTTAGGCCAAAATAAGCCCTATTCAGCAGATACAGTGGAAACTTTATTTGGGTTTCAATATACATACCTTTCCGAATGATTGATTGGAGCCACTAGGGTCAGAAGGAACTGAGCCACGCAGTTTCTCTTTCTCGTCGTCGGTCAATATCTCCCGGCGTGTTTTCCACAAACGTTTGAATTGGAGTTTTGCTGTTAAGCTCAGTTCCAACTTCTTGCGCGGTCTACGAAAAATGTGCACGTTCTCCAAAAGAACGCCTGTTAATGAATTTGCATCGCTCGATGGGATTTGAAGTATATGAATTGGTGGAAAATTATCAGGATCAAAGCTTCGGGGGACAAGGAAATGTGATGACAATTTGTTGTCTTCCGTATACGCATCGCACAATATGTAAACTTCCTGCGGTGGTTGAGTACTTAACATGAATTTGCATCGCAGTGAGGTGCTATCGTTAGACTGGCTCCTATAAATGAACTTCTGAAATTTGTCAGGCTGTTCGATAATAACTAAGCAGGGCCGATCTAGTAGTGGCAAAGTTGGCACGATGTCCATTTTGGCATCCTGAAATCAAACAAAGGGATACATTATATGGACAGAACAAACATCGGTTCAAAGGCGCAAATTTGACATGCACATATGCATTTTTAATCCTAGACAGGTTAAGTTCGAAGATAGGCCTGTACCTGTACGATACTGTTCAAATTACGAGGATTATCTGGTTTTAACTACATTTGCACCATTATTCTCATTGTACTCGGCACTACTGTTTCTTCGAGGACAGAAAAATTCTGAACAAAGATGTGGAGTTAAGCTGTTTTTGCAGTTTAGTGCCGATTTGATTTAGACTTATATATGACCATAGAAATATATAGATCGATAGAAATTCCATTCATTGCATGTTTTTCAAATTTTCGATTTTTAAGAAATTCAACAGCGTTACCTCTAATTCGACCTTTTTATCCCCTAAACACTAACGAATGTTACCAAATTACGTAGAGCATTCCAAATTACAAAATTAAGCAATTTAAACATTGACAATTTAATAATTTCCTTTATATATACCAAAAAATATATTTGGTCCGTTCTTATATATTTTCTTTATAGTACAGTTTTATTATCCCTTACTTTAGGAAAAGTTAAGATTAAGTTCGTATTAACGGGTTCTCATTATTACACCTTTCCACTAAAATAAATGCATATTCTCCTTTTGTTCGAGAACTATACATCCATAGACAAATTAAGATATAGACAACGAAAAGTTAGTTTGGTCTTTTTTTCCAGGTGGCTCTCATCATGTTTTGCATAGTCAACATGCTCATTTACGCGTTCAAGCCACTCGACTTCGAAAACACTTTTTATCGTTTTTCAAGAATTTCACCGGAATATTCCCATTTTTTTCGATGTCATCGCGTACTTTTCACATTTCTTTTTTTATGAAATAATTTTCAACTGACAAATATTCTACAGTTTTTGTTATTTTTTAACGTTTTAGAATTGAGTGACTTAAATATTCCCACTCAAACCCCTGAAACGATATAGACGACGTCTGCTGATTCGATTTTTTTCGAAGATAAACGGTGAGAGCATTTCGTTGTCTATATTTTCATTTGTCTATGATACAGCTCTATTGTACCATAGACAAATAAATATATAGACTAAAAAGCTGTCTCATCTGTTATCTTCGAAAAAGTGCTTCAATAGATGTCGTTCATGCTGTGAGAGGGCATAAGCATAGACAACGAAAAGTTAGTTTTGTCTTTTTATCCAGGTGGCTCTCATCATCTTTTGCATAGTCAACATGCTGATTTACACGTTCAACCCACTCGACTTCGAAAACACATTTTATAGTTTTTCAAGAATTTCACTTAATTATTTGGGAATTTTTTGATGTCATCACGTAATTTTCACATTTATTTTATTATGGAACAATTTCCAACTGACAGTTTTTGTTATTTTTAACGTTTTAGAATTGAGTGACTTCAATATACCCACTTTTTTCGAAGATAAACGGTGAGAGCATTTCGTTGTCTATATTTTCATTTGTCTATGGTTATACATAGCATAGACAAATGAAAATATAGACAACGAAATGCTCTCACCGTTTATCTTCGAAAAAAATCGAATCAGCAGATGTCGTTCATATCGTTTCAGGGGTTTGAGTGGGAATATTGAAGTCACTCAATTCTAAAACGTTAAAAATAACAAAAACTGTAGGATATTTGTCAGTTGAAAATTATTTCATAATAAAAGAAATGTGAAAAGTACGTGATGACATCGAAAAATATAGGAATATTCCAGTGAAATTCTTGAAAAACGATAAAATGTGTTTTCGAAGTCGAGTGGCTTGAACGCGTAAATCAGCATGTTGACTATGCAAAACATGATGAGAGCCACCTGGAAAAAAAGACAAAACTAACTTTTCGTTGTCTATATTTTCATTTGTCTATGTACATAGACAAATGAAAATATCTTCATTTGTCTATGTCTTGCCCATCTTTCAAAGAAAATAAAGAGAGTAAAGCCTACTCAGTAAACAATTAAATCAGATCGAACAAACACCACCACATCAGTGTTGCCGTTTTGACATTTCTTTACACTTTTTCAAATGATGGTGTTTTTAAACTTTTTTTTACCTTTTGAGCCTTTTTCAAATTATGACAAATGTATAAATGGTTTTTATTTTACTTATTTCAACTTTTTTTATTAGTTTTTATGGTGGTAGTGCAATTTAGATTTTAGGATAACTAGATTTAAGATTTGTATAATATATTCTAGATTGTAGTTCATTAGATTTTTATTTTTGTAGACTTTATGTTTTAATTCATTAGATTTTAAGTTTTTAAATACAAGCTTTAGCATTTTTTATTTATATATATTTTATTGTGTATGTGTTTTTTTTTTGTACAATTTTGTTCTACACATTCTTGTTGAATGTTGTAGAAAGTCTTTGTAATGTATTTTAACAATTGTGCAATGTTCTTTTTTTTTTTTTTGTAATGTTGATACTTCTTTTTGTATGTTAAATGTTCACTGTTTTATGTTAATATTAATGATATTAGTTTTTCTTCCATTCACGAAAAATGGGCAAACACATTGGGGAAATACCCAAAATCTGGCTAACTTCTTATACATTTTTTATTTATTTTTTTGTCCATTTCGGCAACACTGCTCACGTCGCCATTGAAATTAGATGGGCAAGTATGAACGCTAGCGTTGTCTCTCTTATTCTCTGTCATAAGTAAAACATCAACAAACAAATATATATATTAAAATTTTTCTACAATTGTTTTTGTAAAATTATTTTTGAACTTATTTTAATTATATTTCCACTTAAAAATTATTCAATGAATTAAAATTCAATGCAAGAAAAATTCTCTTTAGAATATCTCTTTCATTATTTTATAATTAGCTTAGTGGATGCTCATGTACACAATTTGTGACTCAAACTCGACGCATACTGATATCGATTTAAAACGATTTTACCGATCACCCTTTGTGTTGAATTTTGAGGATTTGCTAAAGATAATCAAGTGTGTCCATAATTTAACAAGCAAGTCCACGTATGCAGTTTTATTCACCTCTTTTTTCTTTTTAATTACGAAATAAAAGTAAATATAAATTGTTCTTCAAATTGTTTTCACTTATAACTTACTACCGAACAACCATACCGTATTCTATATTTTTGGTTAATATTATAAACTAAACACTTGAAACAATCAACGCCACTGATTTTTTTTAACATTGCTTTCTAGCAACATTAGTTATTCTACCGGGCATTTCCCGTTATTTCTCCGGGGATTTCCCGTTTTTTCAGAATCGGTAATTGATTTCTTCGTCAGAAATATGTTGGTACGATACCCGAAGTATTCAGCTTAAGTTATCGGTTATCAATTGCTAGTTCCTTTTCATGGTGTTTTCTTCTATTGGCAGTGCGTATTTCAGCTGTATATTGTTTTTCCAAATGAATTTGCACAATCCATTAAATGACAAATGAAAATATAGACAACGAAATGCTCTCACCGTTTATCTTCGAAAATATCGGATCTGCAGATGTCGTCTATGTCGTTTCAGGGGTTTGAGTGAGAATATTGAAGTCACTCAATTCTAAAACGTTAAAAATAACAAAAACAGTTGAAAATTGTTCCATAATTAAAGACATGTGAAAAGTACATGATGACATCGAAACATTTGGAAATTTCACTTGATAATTCTTGATAAACGATAAAATGCGTTTTCGAAGTCGAGTGGGTTGAACGCGTAAATCAGCATGTTGAGTATCCAAAACATGATAAGTGCCACCTGGATAAAAAGACAAAACAAACTTTTCGTTGTCTATATCTTCATTTATCTATGCTGGTACTGATATAAACTTCAACACTTTAACTTTATCTCTGAAGTTATTGACTCATACTCGACGCACACTGATATCGATTTAAAACGATTTTGCCGATTACCCTTCGTGTTGATTGGCAAAAGAAAATCAAGTGTGTCCATAATTTAACAAGCAAGTCCATGTATGCAGTTTTATTTATCTCTTTTTTCTTTTTAACTACGAAATAATAGTAAACTTAATTTGTTCTTAAATTGTTTTCACTTATAACTTATTACCGAACGCCGGTAAACTAAACACTTAAAACAATCACATCGATCAAAACAACTCCACTAACTTTTTTAATATTATTTTCTAGCAAGATTAACGACTACCTTTTGTCATACATGACGCATATGGAAACCTGAATGCTAACTTATATTCAACAGATGTCGTTGGCGTCGGTTTAAGCATTTAAGCGAATATACCATGACAAAATTATACAGGTAGACGCATCAACACAGCTGCTGGTACCATGAGCTGTTAAATCATGTTTGGAACTCCATATTTTGATACTAATATTGTCCTGGCAGAAATATCCTAGCTGGGATACAGGGGGTCAAAGTTTTCCTGTCACATTGAATTCCTACAATCGAATCTTAATGATTTCGATATTTGAGTAGGAAGTAATCTTCATAAGCTTTCAAACGGTTATCCCCTTGGTCCGGCAGAATTATTCTGGCATACACAATGACCCTTCAGCATGTTTTCCAAGTATACAAGTACCAATCATTTCTGTGCACCAAAGTATAATATTTAGTCCCGGTTGGCACTCGCCCAATTTTATACCCGTACAGAAACAATCAACGATAATGGTAAAGTAACATTGTTGGACGAATTATTGACCAAATTAATTAAAAATGTGATCTGTGTAGAGCATTTTTGTGTAATTTAAATTTGAATTTTTTTCTGCATAATATTATCGCTAATAATGGCCAGAATAACAGTCCTACCTAATACCCGGCGTACCGTACAAGAATACTTGTCGACTATTATGTTAAATGTTCACATTTTGTATGTATATGAAATCGATTCGGATTTGGATATGGATCTAGGTGGCTCTCATCATGTTTTGCATAGTCAACATGTTGATTTACGCGTCCAACCCACTCGACTTCAAAAACACATTTTATCGTTTTTCAAGATGTTCAAAGGATTATTCCCATATTTTTCGATGTCATCACGTACTTTTCACATTTCTTTTATAATGAAATAATTTTCAACTGACAATTATGCTACAATTTTTGTTATTTTTAACGTTTTAGAAAATTCGAAATTCCCACTCCGATCCGATTTTTTCGAAGATGAACGGTGAGAGCATTTCGTTGTCCATATTTTCATATGTCTATGCTATAAACCACTCTCAAAATACTTTTAAGTAATACAAATGTTGTATTAATGACAAATACACAATTAAATGTATATTTTTAATCTTTTTATTCAAAATAATTTTTATGGTTTCTTAATTGACGAAGGCAATTGTTAACAAAGTGTTGCCAAATCACTTTTTTCGTTAAACAAAAATTATTCATCTGTGAAAACTAAACAATGTGGTATTACGAATAATAAACTGAAGCGAAGAGAAAAACCTAAACAAATAGAACACACAAAAAAGAATTTTGTACAATGCATTGCACCTCAATTACAGAAACAATCGAAATTGAAATTAACTTTCTTTTTGCACAAAAAACTCTCATTAACATAATATTTTTAAAATTTACACATCTACAATGTTTTCTTTTCTTATCATGTGTTTTGTTTTGATTCCTCATTCATTCGTTCCTTCATTCTCCTTATGTCGCCATATTGAATATGTAAAGTTTCCATATTTACACTAAATTTGTAGTTCACCAAATCGTACGAAATCTGAAGAAGGTAAAAAATCGTACGTTTTTGAATTGTGAAATTCAAACCATTTCGATACGATTTTGTGACATGCCTGATAGCTTTCATAGATACTATTTCCGAAAAAAAAAAAAATAAACAAAATATATTGTATGTCCTAAAGCATTACAATAACACGTTTTGTAAATTGTTGAATTTGTTTCATATTTATTTAAAAACATAAAATATTCGTATATTAAATTTTGAGTGCATATAAAACCAAAAGGGGTAGCGAAGCGAATCATTTTTAAAGTTGCTTGCTTTTATTTTCAACATACATGAAAACACAAATCAGTTCTGCCGATGTTTTTTTTTATATATATATAAACCGGTAAAGAAAAGTGAAATGACATTTGTTTATAAAGTCGTCATGTTTTCTAAATTAGCAACAATGTAGTACACCTTATGTGTATGTATATATTGATTTCAATTTGAAAGGAATGTTGTTTCTTTCTACGATTTCCTAGCGATTTTTTGAAGTGTTGGAAGATTTGTACCTGCAGCTGAAAACTTAACATTGAGAGGAAGGATATAAAAACATTAAAATGAAACATTTTATTGCGTACATACAAAAACAATTGTCTATGTAGTTTTGCCTTAATCTTGAAAAAATATTGAGAAATTATTGTGTAACAAACATTCGACCTGGTAGAATTAGCTTACGAAATAAATATTATATTGAGCTTATTTATATTATAGTATAAAAAGTTTATGTTTGCAATTTTGATTACTTTTATCCATTTAATGGCCTTCCCCAGCTGTCACTCCCTTACCTTAGCTTATGGATCGGGTTCACTAATATTACATTGAATTCCTGGAACTTTGTTGATAGCTCCTGCCTGAAATGAGATTGGATAATAATATATACCATAGATTCTCTAAAAAATTCAGGTTTTTTAAAGTCAGACTGGGAAATGTTCATTTATTCTTCTTATTGTAACATGTTAGTGTCTTGACCTTCGCCGTCTTTTTTCAAGCAAAAAATGAAACTCATTCAATATTTTTTATATAGTTATTTATCAGAGTTCTTTTTTTATTTTAGAAACAAAAGTTGATTTTATAATGAACAATTGTAATTGTTAATTAAAACTGTACTTCGATCGTTCCAAAGGGGCTTCTCCACAAATAGTTTAAAATTAATATTTTTATTATTACTTCTATGTTTCATTTATTCACTGTTCCGTGTCCAATCGCTTGTAAACGAGCTAGACAAACGGGTTAAGGGTTCTGACATTTCCTGTTTCTTATAATTTTCTAGACATAAGTGGCTTTGAAAAGGAAGCAACTTGCTGGTTTTTCGCTTTGGGGGAAACAGATCAATTAACTTTATCGTTTGGTAATCATCTCTAATTTAAACATATTAAAATATTTAGAATTTTGTCACTTTTACTATATTAATTTTTAGCTATAATATGTATTATTTTTTATTGTTTTACTTTTTATTATATTGTAGTAACGAACAACTCATCTTTAAATTTGTTATATGAATGTATATGTATGTTAAAAAACTTCTAATACTCAACCTGTGGGGCGTGAAGTTGTTCAATTAATTACGGAATGTTTTTTTTTTTAAGACAAATACTCAGTAGATGGTAATAAAAAAGAAGATCCAATTAGAAAATAAATAAGTGCCAAGACAGTTATATGTGCATGTTTGACATTCGCCTATACTTCTGTACTTGGGAACAGGGAATGTTTCAAGTGCATGCTTTAACCTAAACTTAACTAGTAAAATATTCAATATCAGTGTCTTTTATTGAAATTCTTAATGAAGTGTATGCATCTCTATACGAAAACCTCGCACTAATGCAGACACAAAATATAAATATATATTAATGATCGTGTTAATAATAACAATTTGAATTTTATATTTAAAAGTTGGATATTATTTGTGTTTTCAATAAGCTTTGCAATAATAAAGTTATATTGGTTTTCTTTATACGGAGAGAGAATTTAAAAATGTAAATGTTTATAGTTCATAAAAAAAAACAACTTTTTACGGGGAAAATTAATGTCGAAACGGATGGTTTCATATTTTGACAAGTGTGTCGTCATACAGCTCTCTTCTGTCGCTCACAACGGCTTCATGCACATATTTCTGATATATTTAGTCTGAATATTTAGCCAGAAAGTGTAAGTTTGTAGAAAATTTTATTTACATAACTTTTTTCGAAATACTTTCCATCTCTTCCTACATACGCACAAAAAATAACGACTCAAAATGTTTGTTCAATACTCGATAGATGCGATTATGTAGATCTAACCACATGCGGTTTCGTAGTCGACTATGTTTCATTTGATAGTAACTTTTAAATCTGTTAAAAGTTGTAGATCTAAAAGTTGCACCACTTTTGGCTAGGTGCTCTCTCCACAAATATGCATGCAGAGGTAGCCTTGAAAACGAACAATGCGCTGGGACAGAGCACAGTATGAATAGAAAAACCCACTTAAGATGTGAAATATTTGTATTGCCGATTAGTTGCATTTTCATGATAATGATCATATTATTGAGATGTTGTGAGGTGCCATTTTCAGAAAATACTTCAATAGAATTTTGCGATTTCTGAATTTATTTTCAGTTACATTTATCTCCTCCTCTAGATACTTTAATATTTTATATACGTTATGTTTTATAGTATGACGTGGTTGTGGTTTTGAATAGAAAAATCAGTGTGAGTTCTTATTATATTTAATGTCTCTCATAGACTCTGAGCCGTTAATGTGATTATGATTCATACATTCAAAGTACTTTAATTTATTTTGCATAAGATATCTGTTTTCAGTTGCAGACGTTATTTTCGTTTATTTGTTGTACTTGTCTGTCTGTTTATAAGATTAGTTTAATGGAAGGCAAAACATGTGCTGCAATAAACTACTTTTATTATTGTTTGCATTATGTGTATTATTATTGTTACCATTATGTGAATGTTGCTGTTCTTGGTGTTGTTGTTGTGAGTGGTCATAATGATATTCATGGTATGTTTGCTGTTGCTGCTGCTGCTGCTGCTGCGATTCATGATGAAGTTGATGTTGTGGTTGTTGGTGGTGTTGATCATTGATGTAATTATTCAATTGTGTTGCTAAATTGTTATTAGGAGCGTTTATGCGCATTAAACTTAAATCATCAGCAACTGAATC